CTGGGTAAGGAAAGTCTGGATGAGCCTAGGCAGCCTTGTGAGCTGATGGCTGTGTCTAGGAAGGCGAGGAGAGTGGGAGCTGAGTGTCTCTGGACCTTACCTGTTACCTGGGTGGAGAATTGGGACAGGGAAGGAAACGTGCCTGTGTCTGTCAGGGGTATTGACTTGCCTGTGGAGGGAGCTACCCTGGTCTCCAAGCAGTTGTCTGTGACTAGCCTTGTGTGCTGGGACAAGGGGAATGAGATCCCAAGCTGTGGGTCTGGGAAAGGAGAAAGTGTGTCCGGCTCTTCTTTGTCTGTGGAGCAGACAGAAAGGGCCTTTCAGCCTGTGATGGTTGAGGGTCGTGCAGTTGTCCCAGAGCGGGTTCTGGATTCAGCTAAAGCCCAGGAAGGGAAGGGTCCTAAGTTTGTGTCTGCTCGGGAGAATGGCCCTGTAACTAGGTTGCATCCAGTTAGGGTCTATGTAAAATCCCAGAGACCAGACAATTCTGGTGCTTGTATTTTGCCTGTTGCTAGTGTGTTGTTGGAAAGGGTGAAGCAACTCTGTGTAATCAGGGTGAGTTCCTAGCCGGGGCACAAGGAGAGCATGAAGGTGTGTGATTGTGTTACCTACTGAGGGTGTGGAAACCTGTAGCAAGAAGGAAAAGATTCCTGAACTTGTGTGTGGCAAAGGGAAGGAGAATGCTTCTGACCTTTTATCTAGGAAGTCTGTGAGTTTGCCTGAAACGGGATTGTGTCGGAATCCGCCGGATGGGCCAGAGGTAATTCTGGATGTAAGGGAGACCCAGAAAGAGTCTGTTGTTGCTCAGGAAAGTGTTCCTCTAGAGCAAGCCCTAGGTAAAGAGGGTAAGGGCAGAATTTCTGTGAGGGGTAAATGGTTGCATATGTAACCCTTCTGCCCGTCAGAGTTGGCAGCAACAAGGGCCGGGTTCAGTATCTAGGGGATCCATTCCAATAACACAATGCAAAACCGGCTCGAGCCCCCACCCTGTGACCTGGGACAAATATATACCACCCCTGCCGGGCGCCTCCAAGAGGCAATACTGCCCCTCTCGCAAGCACATAGTTTGAGTGTAGCAAAAAAGCCTTTTAATAACAGAGAGAAACAATGTGGCATTATGTTGGGGAAACACCACCAACAGGATTCACAACACAACCCATGAGCAAAAACCCACCCCAAGCAAATTGGGGCGTGTCCTTTCCCTTGGGTTCTTGAGTCCAGCATCCCGAAATGACTCAAAGTCCCAAAAGTCCAATGACCCAAAAGTCTCTGTCAGGGCAGCCCCAGAGTTTGAAAGTTTATCTGCAGCGTTTTACCTCCCAACCTGGGTGGAAATGGGGGGCGGGGAAGAGGTAAGGGGCACCTTACATGATCTGAAGCTGACTGCCCCACAGCTCCATAGGGCTCCGCTCTACTCCACTCCACTCCACTCCACTCCACTTCACCAGCCGGTCCACGAACTGCTCCGCTCAGCTCCGCGTCCCACAAGCCGCTCCCGCTGTCCCATGAACTGCTCCACCAGCCAGTCCACAAGCCGCTCCAGCCATCCCACAAACTGCTCCACAATGTATCTTCAGGCTCCCCCACTACTTAACACAACACTCACTGATTTCAGCTCTTAGTCAGTTTTTAGCTCTTTTGTGATTTCAGCTTGTAGCAGGGGAGCCTCGGTGCTGGTGCACCATTAGCCCAAAGTGAATTCAGCTCAGCAGCCTGTAACTAGACTCCTAATGGAGTCACCATTAGCTCTGATATTCCACAGTGGAGAGAGGAGGAAGTGCAATTAGCATGTAAGGCCCTTACCAAGGGGTCCATACCATCAAGTATAAATACCTGTCCCCAGCCTCTCTCAATTCACAGAGTTTTGGAACCCATGTCCCTTGCCTAGCGAGTGCTACTTAGTTGATGGCGAGTCCCTCCATCATAACAAAAGGCCAAGTACAGTTCCAAGCACAGTTCCCATAATCAGGGTAATAACAATTTATTCTTCCTGCCCCAATAACAGAGACACTGGGGATCCCACAACAGCCAAAGTGACCATTTGGGCAGCTATGGCCTCATTCTAGGCGGGGTGGGAGTGCCTATGCAAATGAGATCGGCCCCTGAAGTTCTTTTCCACAACTTGCCACACCTCACCACCAGATGTCAGGGTGGAGCTCATCCTGACTCTGCTTACATATAAAAAAGCCCTCGGGAAAGGAATCATAGAATATCAGGGTTGGAAGGGACCCCCTGAAGGTCATCTAGTCCAACCCCCTGCTCGAAGCAGGACCAATTCCCAGTTAAATCATCCCAGCCAGGGCTTTGTCAAGCCTGACCTTAAAAACCTCTAAGGAAGGAGATTCCACCACCTCCCTAGGTAACACATTCCAGTGTTTCACCACCTTCTTAGTGAAAAAGTTTTTCCTAATATCCAATCTAAACCTCCCCCACTGCAACTTGAGACCATTACTCCTCGTTCTGTCATCTGCTACCATTGAGAACAGTCTAGAGCCATCCTCTTTGGAACCCCCTTTCAGGTAGTTGAAAGCAGCTATCAAATCCCCCCTCATTCTTCTCTTCTGCAGGCTAAACAATCCCAGCTCCCTCAGCCTCTCCTCATAAGTCGTGTGTTCTAGACCCCTAATCATTTTTGTTGCTCTTCGCTGGACTCTCTCCAATTTATCCACATCCTTCTTGTAGTGAGGGGCCCAGAACTGGACACAGTACTCCAGATGAGGCCTCACCAATGTCGAATAGAGGGGAATGATCACGTCCCTCGATCTGCTCACTATGCCCCTACTTATACATCCCAAAATGTCATTGGCCTTCTTGGCAACAAGGGCACACTGTTGACTCATATCCAGCTTCTCGTCCACTGTCACCCCTAGGTCCTTTTCCGCAGAACTGCTGCCTAGCCATTCGGTCCCTAGTCTGTAGCTGTGCATTGGATTCTTCCATCCTAAGTGCAGGACCCTGCACTTATCCTTGTTGAACCTCATCAGATTTCTTTTGGCCCAATCCTCCAATTTGTCTAGGTCCTTCTGTATCCTATCCCTCCCCTCCAGCGTATCTACCACTCCTCCCAGTTTAGTATCATCCGCAAATTTGCTGAGAGTGCAATCCACACCATCCTCCAGATCATTTATGAAGATATTGAACAAAACCGGCCCCAGGACCGACCCTTGGGGCACTCCACTTGATACCGGCTGCCAACTAGACATGGAGCCATTGATCACTACCCGTTGAGCCCGACAATCTAGCCAGCTTTCTACCCACCTTATAGTGCATTCATCCAGCCCATACTTCTTTAACTTGCTGACAAGAATACTGTGGGAGACTGTGTCAAAAGCTTTGCTAAAGTCAAGAAACAATACATCCACTGCTTTCCCTTCATCCACAGAACCAGTAATCTCATCATAAAAGGCGATTAGATTAGTCAGGCATGACCTTCCCTTGGTGAATCCATGCTGGCTGTTCCTGATCACTTTCCTCTTATGCAAATGCATCAGGATTGATTCTTTGAGGACCTGCTCCATGATTTTTCCAGGGACTGAGGTGAGGCTGACTGGCCTGTAGTTCCCAGGATCCTCCTTCTTCCCTTTTTTAAAGATTGGCACTACATTAGCCTTTTTCCAGTCATCCGGGACTTCCCCGGTTCGCCACGAGTTTTCAAAGATAATGGCCAATGGCTCTGCAATCACAGCCGCCAATTCCTTCAGCACTCTCGGATGCAACTCGTCCGGCCCCATGGACTTGTGCACGTCCAGCTTTTCTAAATAGTCCCTAACCACCTCTATCTCCACAGAGGGCTGGCCATCTCTTCCCCATTTTGCGATGCCCAGCGCAGCAGTCTGGGAGCTGACCTTGTTAGTGAAGACAGAGGCAAAAAAAGCATTGAGTACATTAGCTTTTTCCACATCCTCTGTCACTAGGTTGCCTCCCTCATTCAGTAAGGGGCCCACACTTTCCTTGGCTTTCTTCTTGTTGCCAATATACCTGAAGAAACCCTTCTTGTTACTCTTGACATCTCTCGCTAGCTGCAGCTCCAGGTGCGATTTGGCCCTCCTGATTTCATTCCTACATGCCTGAGCAATATTTTTATACTCTTCCCTGGTCATATGTCCAACCTTCCACTTCTTGTAAGCTTCTTTTTTATGTTTAAGATCCGCCAGGATTTCACCATTAAGCCAAGCTGGTCACCTGCCATATTTACTATTCTTTCGACTCATTGGGATGGTTTGTCCCTGTAGCCTCAACAGGGATTCCTTGAAATACAGCCAGCTCTCCTGGACTCCTTTCCCCTTCAAGTTAGTCCCCCAGGGGATCCTGGCCATCCGTTCCCTGAGGGAGTCGAAGTCTGCTTTCCTGAAGTCCAGGGTCCGTATCCTGCTGCTTACCTTTCTTCCCTGTGTCAGGATCCTGAACTCAACCAACTCATGGTCACTGCCTCCCAGATTCCCATCCACTTTTGCTTCCCCCACTAATTCTACCCGGTTTGTGAGCAGCAGGTCAAGAAAAGCGCCCCCCCTAGTTGGCTCCTCTAGCACTTGCGCCAGGAAATCCTCATGGAGTCTTTGCAAGCAGTTTACTGCAACTGAAGGGTGTGAAAGTGATTTAATCAAGAAAGTTTCAGTTCCTAACAGCCAGAAATGTTCTGTTGTGAATGGATCCACTGACTCTCCTGTTGAAAGATCCAGTGTGGATAGCTTTGAGAAGGTCTCAAATGAAGTAAAAGCTGTTAAGAAAGTTAAACATTCCTATAAACAAGTGGCTGTGTTTGGCCAGCTTGTTGGGGAGAAGACCCAATCCCAGTTTGACCCCCTGGGGTTTTGGGGGTGGCCAAAGGGCACGGGCCGCATAAACCTTCCCACATGCGGCCTGCGAGTGCTATCGACCTCCCCTAAGGGAGGGCGTGAAACTGGAAGGGCCTGGTGTAACTCCTACCAAGGAATGGGAGAGATGCTGGGGCATCCATAGGAACATTGGTGGCTTCGAACTTCCCCAGGTCACTAGCTAAAGTGACCCCGGTCAGTTCGATCTCAAAGGGGGGAGAGATGTGACGAAGTGGGACTGTTCTTAATGTTTCCTCTGAATAGTGTGGGGGTGCCTCAGTTTCCCCTAGGCAGTTCTTAAGTATCTAGGTGGTGGGGTAAGGGTGTATGATCGTTGCAGAGCCCGAGAGGGCAGGTGTGTGCAGGGGTCTGGACACAGAGAATGGCCGACACCCTGTTTCCTGGCAACTGATGGCCTGGGCCCTTCCCCCCCTGCAAGGTGAGAGCTAAAGGGTTGGAGAACAAAGGAATCAGGTGACCTCCTGGCCCAGGAAAGGGACAAAGCCCAGAGGAGGAGGGTCTGGAGGGAGTTTCAGTTGGGGGCTGGCTGGGACATGGAGTGAAGGGCAGACGTGGTTGTCTGGCTCACGGCCCCCCAAAATGGACCCAGCTCTCTGTTAGACCATGTTCCTGTCGTCTAATAAACCTTCTGTTTTCCTGGCTGGCTGAGAGTCCCGTCTGACTGCGGAGTTGGGGGGCAGGACCCTCTGGCTTCCCCAGGACTCCGCCTGAGCGGACTCGCTGTGGGAAGCGCACGGAGGGGCAGAGGATGCTGAATGCTCCGAGGTCAGACCCAGGAAGGTGGAAGCCGGGTGAGCTGTGTGTCCTGCAGACAGGCTGCTCCCAGAGAGGAGACTTCCCCAGAGTCCTGCCTGGCTTCGCAGGGAGCAGTCCCAGAGCATCGCCCAGGGACCCCGTGACACCCACATTGCCCTGGGGTGCCGCAGCAATGGCTTCACCCCCCTCCCCGAGCGTCACTGCCGAGCGACCTACGGGGCTGCACGCTGAGGATAGGATTTAACGCCCGGAGTGCTGGCTCCTGGCTCAGCCCAGAGCCCCAAGCCACGATCCCAGCAGACATTCTCATGAGTAGCTTTTCACCTCCCACCCCTGGGCATGGCAGTTGGCAGTGCCAGCATCTCCCGCCAAGGGCCTCTCTCTGGGGCTGGCTGTCCTGTTAGACACGGCCCCCCAGGGACTGGCTGGCAAAGGGCTGTGTCTTCTCTAGGCTAGTATGGCCAGCAGGGAGAAGGTGTCATATCTGCTGGGACCCCTGATTGCTTGGCTCTGGCTGTAGAGGGCACCCGTCCTCCCTTCCAGCTACCCTTCCGTCCCACAGCTGGCTTTGAAGGGTCATGACACCTGAATGTTGATCACACCAAGGGGTCCCTCCCGGGCTGGCGCTGATGGAATTTGAGCTGGCGGCTGTTCAGATGGGGGCAGCACCTTGCCCCGGCTTGCAAACACACCCACGGTGATAGCCGCTGCGCTCCACCCCGGAGCACCTGCTGCCTCCCCAGCCAAGCTCTGTGGGATCGGAGCAGTGCCTAGAGCTGTGGGCGGGGGCTCCTTTGATCGCCTTCCTCTGCAGCATGGGGCTCGGTCACTTGCTGGAGGATTTTCTGCACCTTGAAGTCTTTAAACCGTGATTTGAGGACTTCAGTAGCTCAGACATAGGTGAGAGGTTTATCGCAGGAGTGGGTGGGTGAGATTCTGTGGCCTGCGTTGTGCTGGAGGTCGGACTGGATGATCATGATGGTCCCTTCTGACCTTATATCTATGACTCTATGAATCACCTGCTGCTTAGCAGAGGGCATGTGGCCGGTCGTCTGGGGGCTGCCTACACAAGGCAGCAGGGTGGTGGCATACCTGAAGCACCCAGCTCCTGCACTGCCCCTCACATCCGCATGCAGCAGCCCCCACAAGCAGCACTTGGAGAAGTTGGTTGCAAAACTTCGGACATTTTGGCTTGGGGCCTGGTTGGGCTCGGCCATTCCTGCCCTTCACTGTGGGACATTGTCACATCTGCGCTTTGGCCCAGCGTGTCCCGGCTGCTCCCCTCCCGTGGGAGATGAGCCCTTTGACCTGACTGGCTGGTGAGGGGAATGACCCAGACTGGGCTGGTTGGCCCCAGTGGCTTGGACTCTGCGATCCCAAATGGGCGACTTGCCGCGGTTGTAGCAGGCTGGTGACCCGTCCACAGGCTCTCGGTGCTTTGCTCCCCGGCCTGGGACCACTTCTCCATGTGAGCGCAGCCAGCTCCTGAGGCCGTGGAGGGCTCTAAGGGGCTGCTCACGTCTGGCCTGTCGCTCGGTGGATGTGCGGGGTGGGGTTCCACTGTGGCTGTAGGCTCGGATTCATGCTGAACCTTGTTGGGGGGCAATGGCTTGGCGTTTGGAAGCAGTGCGTGACCTGAATTCCTTTCCAATGGCCCAGGGGAAGGGTAAAGTGCTAGCATGGGCCCAGCTCTGTCCACGCAGTGGAAAATCCCCCTCGAAAACTCCATCTCCGCCCCGAGCGTCTCGGCGCTGATCCATAGCGGCAGGCGGCTTCGCAGTCCAGCTCTCCACTGGCCCTAGGAAGGAGAAGAGCCAGAGCTGGGCTGCCTGGTTCCCCTGCAATGGAGCCAGCAGGGCCCAGCTTGTTCCAGGAGCGATTCTCCTCCGCGCACCTGTGCTAAGGGATGGCTGAGCCCAGGGGTTCTCCATCCGCATTATGTGCGCCAGCTGGCAGTCACGCAGCAGGCCAATTGTGCTAGGTGCTGTATGAGTGTAGAACAGCGAGTCACTGCCCAAGGCAGCTGGCGATCTAAGTCTAAGATGGGAGCAGAGGAGACATTGCTGTCAGCAGACAGGACAGCTGGGGGAAGGCAGATGGGCTTCTGGCTGAGAGGAGATGCAGGAAAAGAGGAGATCAAGGCAAAGGTGGACAGGAGAAGCTGGGAAAGAGCCTGGTTCCAGCTGAGATCTGGGAATCCAGCTCCCCCCCCCCGCCCCAAGCTGTCTGGTCAGGGACCCCACGGGTGGATTCCTCTCCACTCTTCAGCTTCACGGTCAGTTCCAGCCCAGTGCATGGCACGCGGCTGGCTGTTCATGGAGACCCTGGCCCCCGGGCGCCTGCCCCTCCATGCAGGACACGCCTGCTGCACCTTGTATGACAAATAGCAGGTGGCCGAGGGGAAGGGGGGCTCGGGAAATACTGGCTCTGCAAGCAAACATGGGGGGCCGGGCACCAGCCCGTGCTGCAGCAACCCCCCGCTCCCCGTGCCCCAGGCGATGCTGTCCAGGGTGCTGGTGTGACGAAGTGGGACTGTTCTTAATGTTTCCTCTGAATAGTGTGGGGGTGCCTCAGTTTCCCCTAGGCAGTTCTTAAGTATCTAGGGGGTGGGGTAAGGGTGTATGATCGTTGCAGAGCCCGAGAGGGCAGGTGTGTGCAGGGGTCTGGACACAGAGAATGGCCGACACCCTGTTTCCTGGCAACTGATGGCCTGGGCCCTTCCCCCCCTGCAAGGTGAGAGCTGAAGGGTTGGAGAACAAAGGAATCCGGTGACCTCCTGGCCCGGGAAAGGAACAAAGCCCAGAGGAGGAGGGGCTGGAGGGGGTTTTCAGTTTGGGGCTGGCTGGGACATGGAGTGAAGTGCAGACGTGGTTGTCTGGCTCACTGCCCCCCAAAATGGACCCAGCTGAGGGGTCCCGTTCTCTGCACCTGCAAGCTCTGTTTTAGACCATGTTCCTGTCGTCTAATAAACCTTCTGTTTTACTGGCTGGCTGAGAGTCACGTCTGACTGCGAAGTTGGGGTGCAGGACCCTCTGGCTTCCCCAGGAGCCCCGCCTGAGCGGACTCGCTGGTGGGAAGCGCATGGAGGGGCAGAGGATGCTGAATGCTCTGAGGTCAGACCCAGGAAGGTGGAAGCTGTGTGAGCTGTGTGTCCTGAAGACAGGCTGCTCACAGAAAGGCGACTGCCCCAGAGTCCTGACTGGCTTCATGGGGAGCAGTTCCAGAGCATCGCCCAGGGACTCCGTGACAGCTGGCAAAGCCCTCGCTGCTCCTGAGGGTGCCCTCGGCCGCCTGTCCCGCGCCTGCAGCCCCGGCTGGGCTGCTCCCCTGGGATGGGGAGGCAGCTGGGAGAAGGGGCTGGTCTGCTGACGCCCCATTGTCCTTGCGGCCACGGCGAGGCCTGGCCCCGCAACGATGCTGAGACGGGAAGGGGGCCCGGCCGTGACGCCTGCCCGCGCTCGCTTTGTGCATTGGGGCATCTGTGCCTGTGTAGGGGCCGTGCGAGAGCCGTGTGCCCAGGCCTGCGGCTGGGTGGCGCTGAGTGCCCGCTGCTCCGCACCCGCAGCGTCGCGTGACCCAGCCGCACCCGGCGGGGCTGCGAGAGCCACCGCTCAACCTGCTGCCACCGCGGGACCCCCTGGCCTGGCCGCAGGGAGCGGGACGCCCTCCGCCCGAGTGCCTGCGGGGGCACGCCCGGGTTTGTCTGGGTGTGCTCCTTTGCGTGTGTACCTGCGAGTGAGCTGGTGCCTGGCCGATTTGCCTGGTGCACGTGTGAGTGTGGAGTGTTCTGCGTGTGCGGCGTGTGCGTCTGGGTGTGCCGCCATGCCAGAGAGATGCCCTCTCCGGGTTCACAGCCCTTCCGGGCGCCCCGGGTTATGCAGCCAGTCCCGGGGTTGTTTATTCTGGGCCATTACAGCCTCTCCTGCACCACTCGCTTGCTGCATTTGCTGCCCAGAGGAGCCCGATCGTTGCGGCTGCTTTTTCAAGGGGCTGAGCTGTGCGGAAGCTGGTGCACGGGGGTTGGAAGGGAGGCTGGCTCTGCTTTCAAAGGCTTTGGGGGGAGCGGTTGGTTCATAGTTCAACAGTTGGGGGGGGTCAGAATGCACTTGCTCCCTCCTCCCCTGCCACCCTGCCCCTGTGAAACACACAGACCATCCCTACAGCCCCACAGCTGAGAAGCAGCCTCCGAGAGAAAGGTCCTGGGGTAGGGGTGGGGTTTTAAAAGCCTTTATTTAGATCCAGTTGTTGCACAGCTGTCCACTCCCGTGTGACCAGCCCCCTCCCCAGTCCCCTTCCCCCCTCTCACTGCAGTGTCAGCATTAAAATCCACCTCCTTCAGCAGAAAGGCCTAAGTGCAGGGGGCTGGCCTGGGTGCCTGGGAGGTTCCTTCCCCACCTGCTGCACTCTGCTTCCGGTGGTCCCTAGGGCTGCCTCTCCCTGCCCTTACTGGGCCCAGGCTGGTGTGCTCCTGCTTTTGGGGAGGCAGGTGAGCAGAACAGGCACCTGGCCCCCTTCATGCTGGAGTTGGGGCCCCAGGAGCACCAGGCCTGAATGGAGGCTCTGCTGGTGGCCCCGTCTCCCAGAGGCAGCGATTGGGCACAGTGAGAGCAAGGGACCAGCATGGTCCCACCTCTGGCCTGGGGGGTGAGATGTCTCCGGCGCTGCCCCTGCTGTGGGAGCAGTGGCAGGGTCTGGCAGGGGAAGGGCAAAGCAGCCCCAGGTGTGAGCCTGCCCCCTGGAGCGTTAGCCGTCGGGACTGCCCCCCACGCGCTGGGCTGCCCCCCACGCTGCGCATCCTGCCCAGGCCGGAGAGCCGTGGCCCCAGTGTTCGGAATCTTGGCTCGTTAATGATCCCTGGCTTCTAGCAGTGCCCCCGGGAGCTGCGCCGTGTCCTGCCTGACTCCCCGGGCCCCGTGAGGCCCAGTGCACCAGCAACAGGCAGGTTGGCACGGCAGGACGCTGGGTGTGGGGAGGGGAAGAGATGGGGCTGGCACAGGGGCGCTTAGTCCATGTGTGTAATGTACAAGGGGGGCTCTTGCCCGGCAGATAAAGTCTGAGATGTCAGGGGCCAGACTCAGTGGGGGTCAGGGGGCCATGCTTGAGCCCATGGCAGCAGGGCAGGGACCGGCTGAGCATGGCTCTCTTGGAGTTCAGCCCGGAGCTATTCCTGTGTGTCTGGGGATGAGGGGGTGCTGCATGAGTCTCATGTTTCCTCCAGGACGGAAGGAGCTTCTGCCTTCCCAGCCACTGAGGTGCAGCCACTTCTGGGGTGCTGTTTAATAGCCCATAGCAACACCATGATGTAGGGCACTGAGCGCCTGCGACTCCTCATCTTACTGCTGCTGCCGGGTGGATTTGGCAAGGTGGACGGGGACATTCCCAGAGCCGGGATTTGGGCAGGAGGCCAGGGCGGGCTCTGAGTGTGAAGGGGCCATGAGATGTCCAGTGACTGAGGATGGGCCGGGCCAGGCCGCGGTGTGATGTCTCACGCAGCAGCTCCCAGTGCTCTGTGCGCACTCAGGTATCACTAGTGCTGTGCCCAGGCGCGGACCTGGCCCAGCCCTGCTCAGCATGTGAGGCTGGACACGGCCACAGCTAGGCTGTGGGGGCTGCTGTGGCCCCTTCACCTGCCAGCAGGAGGACAGAGCCAGGAGGAGCTGGCAGGAGCAGGAGAGAACATGAGAACGTAAGAAGAACATAAGAACGGCCAGACTGGGTCAGACCAAAGGTCCATCCAGCCCAGTATCCTGTCTGACAGTGGCCAGTGCCAGGGGCCCTAGAAGAAATGAACAGAACAGGTCATCATCAAGTGATCCATCCCCTGTCCCTCATTCTCAGCTTCTGGCAAACAGAGGCTAGGGACACCTTCCCTGCCCATCTTGGCTAATAGCCATTGATGGACCTATCCTCCATGAATCTATCTAGCTCCCTTTTGAACCCCGTTATAGTCTTGGCCTTCACAACACTCCCGGGCAAGGAGTTCCACAGGTTGACAGTGCATTGCATGAAAAAATACTTTCTTGTGTTTGTTTTAAAACTGCTACCTATTAATTTCATTTGGTAGCCCCTTGTTCTTGTATTATGAGAAAGAGTAAATAACACTTCCTTCTTTACGTTCTCCACCCCAGTCATGATTTTATAGACTTCTATCGTATCCCCCCTTAGTCGCCTCTTTTCCAAGCTGAAAAGTCCCAAAAGTCTTATCAATCTCTCCTCATACGGAAGCCGTTCCAGACCCCTAATCATTTGTGTTGCCCTTTTCTGAACCTTTTCCAATTCCAATATATCTTTTTTAAGATGGGGCGACCACATCTGCCTGCAGTATTCAAGGTGTGGGCGTAACAGGGATTTATACAGGGGCAACATGATATTTTCTGTCTTATTATCTATCCCTTTTTTAATGATTCCCAGCATTCTGTTCACTTTTTTGGCTGCCGCTGCACATTGAGTGGATGTTTTCAGAGAACTATCCACAATGACTCCAAGATCGCTTTCTTGAGTGGTAACAGCTAATTTAGACCCCATCACAGCTTCTCGTCCACTGTCATCCCTAGATCCTTCTCTGCAGAACTGCTGTCTAGCCATTCGGTCCCTAGTCTGTAGCGGTGCATGGGATTCTTCCGTCCTAAGTGCAGGACTCTGCACTTGTCCTTGTTGAACCTCATCAGATTTCTTTTGGCCCAATCCTCCAATTTGTCTAAGTCCCTCTGAATCCTATCCCTACCTTCCAGCGTATCTACCACTCCTCCCGGTTTAGCGTCATCTGCAAACTTGCTGAGGGTGCAATCCACACCATCCTCCAGATCATTAATGAAGATATTGAAAACTGTGTCCAGTTTTGGGCCCCACCTTACAAGAAGGATGTGGAGAAATTGGAGAGAGTCCAGCGAAGGGCAACAAAAATGATTAGGGGACTGGAACACATGACTTATGAGGAGAGGCTGAGGGAACTGGGATTGTTTAGTCTACAGAAGAGAAGAATGAGGGGGGATTTGATAGCTGCTTTTAACTACCCGAAAGGTGGATCCAAAGAGGATGGATCTAGACTATTCTCAGTGATAGCAGATGACAGGACAAGGAGTAATGGTCTCAAGTTGCAGTGGGGGAGATTTAGGTTGGATATTAGGAAAAACTTTTTCACTAGGAGGGTGGTGAAACACTGGAATGCGTTACCTAGGGAGGTGGTGGAATCTCCTTCCTTAGAAGTTTTTAAGGTCAGGCTTGACAAAGCCCTGGCTGGGATGATTTAGTTGGGGATTGGTCCTGCTCTGGGCAGGGGGTTGGACTAGATGACCTCCAGAGGTCCCTTCCAACTCTGATATTCTATGATTCTATGATTGTATATGTATAATTAGGATTATGTTTTCCAATGTGCATTACTTTGCATTTATCAATATTGAATTTCATCTGCCATTTTGTTGCCTAGTCACCCAGTTTTGAGGGATCCTTTTGTACCTCTTCGAGTCTGCCTGGGACTTAACTATCTTGAGTAGTTTTGTATCATCTGCAAATTTTGCCACCTCACTGTTTATCCCTTTTTCTAGATCGTTTATGAATATGTTGAATAGGACTGGGCCCAGTACAGACCCCTGGGGGAGACCACTATTTACCTCTCTCCATTCTGAAAACTGACCATTTATTCCTACCATTTGTTTCCTGTCTTTTAACCAGTTACCATGAGAGGACCTTCCCTCTTATACCATGCCTGCTTATTTTGCTTAAGAGCCTTTGGTGAGGGACCTTTTCAAAGGCTTTCTGAAAATCTAAATATACTATATCCACTGGATCGCCTTTGTCCGTGTGCTTGTTGACCCCCTCAAAGAATTCTAGCAGACTGGTGAGGCATGATTTCCCTTTACAAAAACCATAGAATCATAGAATCATAGAATATAAGGGTTGGAAGGGACCCCAGAAGGTCATCTAGTCCAACCCCCTGCTCGAAGCAGGACCAATTCCCAGTTAAATCATCCCAGTCAGGGCTTTGTCAAGCCTGACCTTAAAAACCTCTAAGGAAGGAGATTCTACCACCTCCCTAGGTAACGCATTCCAGTGTTTCCAATTTATCCACATCCTTCTTGAAGTGTGGGGCCCAAAACTGGACACAGTACTCCAGATGAGGCCTCACCAATGTCGAATAGAGGGGAACGATCACGTCCCTCGATCTGCTCGCTATGCCCCTACTTATACATCCCAAAATGCCATTGGCCTTCTTGGCAACAAGGGCACACTGCTGACTCATATCCAGCTTCT